CGTCGCTCCCCGCCCGGGCAGCAGCCGGGGAGGACTTTAGGGGCGTTTTGGTGTCCGGGGGTACGGCCGAGGGGAGCCGGGAGCCAAACGGGGAGCGATGGCTGTCAGGGGTATGGGGGGGGTCGCCCGTGGGGCAAAGCGGGGAGCGGGGAACACGCGTGGCGCCGGGCGGGAGCTGGTTAACGCAAGCGGCGTGCGGGGAGCTCGGATCCGGCGGATGGATGAAGCGTCGGAAAAGTATTATTGTGCCTTTAGACAAAACGCTCTATATGGTTTCTCTTCGCTTTTAGAGAAACACTGCATTCCGCAGCCGCCAGGCGGGCTGGGCGAGCTGGTCCCGGGTGATACGGGAGGGACTCCTTAGGCAGTTCTCCTCTGCCCAGGCTTCCCCTGACCTGTCCTGGCCAAGTCCCTTCCTTCTTCAGCTCTTGGGTGCCCTTCAGCTCTCCCCAGGTGGGTATTTTCAAAAGCAAAGGGCCCCAGGCTGGTGTCAGCCCAGAGGAGAGAGGCAGGATCCCTCCTTCGTGCTGCCATTTTGCAGCACCACACACAGCTGTGCACTTAGTTCCTTCCCCAAAGGCTCTTAACGGCAGCAAGAGGATGAAAGGTGGGGATACCTTTGTTAATAAAATACTTTGGAGAAAAACAGAGCCCAACAAGGAGGGAACGAGGCTATGTTTATACTCCGCCTTTTCCTGAGAAGGCTTCAGCACAGATTTGCCTCAGCCGTTGGCTCCAGCCTGGCAGAACATCTCTACGCCTTGGTCTTGAGAAGAAAGGTTGGCCACCGCTGCAGACCTGTTCTCATGTGTTCATGTGGAGGCTTGCTGAGACCGAGAGCTACGTACCACTCCTCTCCTGGCAGCCCCCGCCACAGTCATATGGGAGCTCTTCTTAGCACAAGTAGGTGATGTTAGGGGCAACAGCCACCGGCTGTGGATGGGGAGGTACCAACTGGACAGCGGGGCGATGCAGCACAGGAACCATCACCTCGGCTGGAGGAGCCTCCTTGCCAGGAGTTTCCAATCCTCGGCTAGACAAAGCCGTGGCCAGCCTGACCCTGACATCGTGCCAGCCATGGTCCCGCTCTGAGCAGGCTGTTGGATGAAGTGTTGCAGAGAGGTCCCTTCC